GGACTCAATTTTCCCGCATTAGTCGCCTTCGTAGATTGAAAAGCTTTTTTGAGCACGAAGTCCCCAATCTTGAAGTATCTTAGACGCACTTTTCGATTGTAGTATCGTTCCATGACCTGCTTTTGTGCTGCCATTCTTATTAATGCAACTTCCGTTTTTCCTTCAAGTAGATCAAGGTTTATGCGCATTTCTTCGTTATTGGATTCTTCTGACACTTGTGTAAGCCTCGTGCTTGGCTCTCTTATCTCAACTGGAATTAAGGCTTCAGCTCCATAAACCAATGAGAATGGTGTTTCTCCCGTACTTATTTTTGCTGTTGTGCAGTATGCCCATAAAACTCCAGGTAGCAATTCTGGCCAATTACCTTTGGATTCCTCCAAACGCTTCTTTAAATTGTTGATAATGACTTTGTTTGTTGACTCAGCTTGTCCATTACCCGCCAGATGATAAGGTGTGGATGTAATCCTTTTGATCTGCCAACTTTGGAAAAACTCTGTGATTTATGCGCCTATAAATTGAGGGTCATTATCACACACGATTTCCTTTGGCACACCGAATCGACATATGATATTTCACCAAATGAAATCTCTAACTTCATTTTCTCGCACCTGTTTGAATGCTCCTGCTTCCACCCATTTGGTAAAATAATCAGTAAGTACAAGCAAGAATTTTACCTGTCCTTTTGCTTGTGGTAGTGGACCTACGATATCCATCCCCCATTTCATAAATGGCCATGGTTCAATGACCGGATGTAACAACTCCGTAGGTCTATGCATGTTATTACCGTATCTTTGGCATTTATCACATTTAGCCACGAAATTTCCGTTTCTTCTTCCATTTTAGGCCAATAATAACCTGCCCTAATCATGGTTCTTACCAATGATCTTCCTCCGGCGTGATTCCCACAATTCCCCTCGTGTATTTCTCTCATTACATATTCCGTCTGAGAAGGCTCAAGGCACCTTGCTAAGGGACCATCGAACATTTTTCGATAAAGATTGCCTTGCTTTAAACAATATCGAGCAGGCTTTTTTTGAAGCGCGTGAGCTTTTTTCTTGTCTTCAGGGATGGTTCCATACTGCAAAAAAGAAACAATCTCGTTCCTCCAATCCCAGGTTAAGTTATTAAAATTTACTTCATTTTTGTCTGGATCGAGTACTGAATGAAACAAATGAATTACGGAAGCATTTTCATTGCTTGCCACGTCTGCTGCAGATGCGAGATTGGCTAGGGCGTTCGCCTCGACATTTTCATCTCTTGGTATTTGCATAACTTTCCAGGTTTGGAATTGCCTGATCAGATCCCGTACCTTCTCTAAGTATTGCTGCATCCATGCTTCCCTGGTCGTATAAGTCCCCAACATTTGGTTAACTACGAGCTACGAATCGCTTTGATTACAATCCGATTAATGTCGAGTTCTCGTGCTAGTTCTAAACCTACAATCATAGCTTCAGACTCTACCTCATTGTTAGTTATAGAATGACATTTAATGGCTTGTCGAATGGTTTCACCCGTAGGTGGTACCAAAACAATTCCCAAGCCTGCACCCTTCACATTAGATGAACCATCAGTAAATAAGGTCCAAATTCCCGAATTAGATCTGTTGAACACCTGTAATTCTTTTTCTGCTTCCAATTGCATTCCTTGGCTAAAATCAGCCACAAAATCTGCTAACACTTGAGATTTTATCGCGGTTCTAGGCTGGTATGTGATTTCATATTCACTTAATTCTATAGCCCATTTGGCGAACCTACCTGACAAATCATGCTTGCGTAATATATTGCGTAATAGATAATCAGTTACTACATCAATAGGATGACATTGAAAATAAGACCTTAATTTTCTAGATGTCATGATTAGTCAAGTGCAAGCTTTTCCAATTGAGGATATCGCGTCTCCGCATCTAATAAAGATTTGCTGACATAACAAATCGGAGATTGTTTACATTGATCTTCACGAACTAACACAGCACTTACCGCTACTTCGGAGACAACAAGGTAGATGAGCAATCTTTCCCCAACTTTTGATTTTGCAAGCAACGACGGATTTGATAAGTATGTCTTCAAATTTTTAAGTGCCTGTTGACATTCCTCAGTCCATTCGAACTGATCTTGCTTTTAAGAGCTGAAAAGAATTTAAAGCACTTTTCTGATGATTCGGAAATGAATCTCCCAAGGCTGCAATTCTTCCTATCAACCTCTGCACTTCCTTTTTACTTGTAAGCATGTCAGGGATCTCTTCAATGGCCTTAATCTGTGCAGGATTCACTTCAATAACACGGTTAGAAACAAGAAAACCCAAAAACTTACCTGATGCAACATCGAATGCACATTTCTCAGGATTTAATTTCATATTAAATTTTTGCAAGATCTTAAACGTATCAGACAAGTGTGATATATGATCCCCTAAATGTTGAGTTTTAATGAGCATATCGTCTATATAGACCTCCATAGTTTTTCCCAAAGGTTCTTAAAACATTTTGGTCACTAGTCTTTGATATATTGCACTAGCATTTTTGAGACCAAAAGACATTACTTTATAACAGTAAGTCCCCCTATCTGTTATAAATGAAGTTTTTTCTTCATCTATAGGATCCATTTTGATATGGTTGTAGCCTGAATACACTTCTAAAAAGCTTAACAATTTATGTCCTGCAGTAGCATTAATTAGTTGATCTATATGTGGTAATGGAAAAGAATCTTTAGTACAAGCTTTGTTAAGGTCTGTGTAATCTACACAAACTCGCCATTTACCATTCTTTTTCAGTACCACAACAGTATTGGCTAACCAATTAGGATACTTTACCTCTCGGATAGACCCAATTTTTAGTAATTTTTGGACCTCATCTTGAATCACCTGATTTTTGAAAGTTCCTTGCTTTCTCTTCTTTTATTTGACAGGCGGATATGGTGGGTCTTCATTTAATTTGTGAGTCATTACCTCCGCTGGTATCCCTGTCATATCATAATGGGACCAAGCAAAACAATCCACGTTAGTTTTCAAAAATTCAATCAACTTACCTTTCATGCCCTGGCTTAGATTGGCCCCTACATAAACTTTCCTTTCAGGCCATTGTGTGGATAACACTACAACCTCCAGTGCTTCGATTGTTGTTTTGATATTTTCGTTTTCCTCTGGTTTTGAATGGCATAAGGCCTTGAGTCCACATCTGTTCGCCCTTGTTCAGTTGAGGTTTGCGTTGTGGTACCCTCAACTGGATTCTGTAACTGCTATTTTTCTTCGTTTCTCGTACTTGAATCTGCTATAGAGTTGATGCTCCTAGATGTCTATTGATCCCCACATATTTGACATATTCCCCATGGTGATGGAAATTTAATTACTTGGTGTAAGGTCGATGGAACGACATCCATCTCGTGGATCCATGGTCTCCCGAGAATCATATTGTAAGCCATCTCCATAGCTACCACCTGAAACTTTGTATCTTTGACAACTCCTTCTGCGAATGTAGTAAGTATTACCTCCCCTTCGTCACGACGCTGGAATTGTCAAATCCAGACAAAGTATGCACCTTTGGTATTAATTTATCTTCAGCTTGCATCTCGAGTAGTACCCTTAGCAGAATAATGTTCACGGAACTACCTAGATCAATCAAAACTCGTTTCACATTAGTATCATGTACAAGTAGAGATATTACCAGTGCATTGTTATGTGGAGATAATACGCCATCCGCATCTACATCATCAAACATAATACTTTCTTCCTCTAAGACATGTCGCACCCGCTTCCCGTGGGTAATTGTGACTTTGGAAACTTTATTGGCTTCTGTGTAGGTCACACCATTGATGTCTTCACCTCCTCTTATAACATTAACAGTCATTTTGGGAGAAGGTGGTTTAGGGGGCTCCTGCCTATTCTTCATGTATGCTTGCTTTCCTTTCTCACTGAATAATTCGGTGAGATACCCTTATTTTAATAGGTGATCAACTTCGCGTTGTAGCAACCTACGGTCTGCCGTTTTATGTCCATGGTCGTTGTGGAATTCGCACCAGTGATCAGGATTGTGCCTGTTTGGATTCGATCTCATTTCTTTTGGCCACCGCACCTTGTCACCCATGCTTCTTAAAACAGCTACGAGCTCAGAAGTACTCACATTAAAATTATAACCGCCGAATCTTGCCTTCAAGTTTCTATTATCATCCGGCGACTCTCGCGTGTTTCGATCATTCCCAAATCTTGATGATGAGCCCGACTCTCTATTCCTCGATCTATGATCATACCTTGAATTGTCCTATTTTGATCGTGAATCTTTTCCCGCTGGGCCTATATATGGTTCGTAGCTATTTTTACCGGACCATTTTTCGGTTTCCGCCCGTCTCGAACTTACCTTTTCCTCTTTTTGAGACCGTGAGATAATATCCTCTTCTATCCTTAGTTTCGTACTATACCCGTTGTAAACGTCATTCCACGTTGTTGCTGGAAATTCACGAAGACTTTCCTTGAGTCGCCTCGTGGCTTCTGAGCTTTTTTCATTCAAATTACTAGTGAAGGCTATAACTGCCTAATTGTCAAGTACACACGGTAACGTCATTCTTTCACGCTGGAACCTATCCACGAACTCTCTAAGAAACTCTGAGTCTCCTTTCTTGATTTTAAAAATATCTTCCATTCTTTTTTTGACTTTTTGAGCTCCCAAATATGCTTTGATAAATTAATCTGCAAGCTCAGCAAAAGAATTTATGGAATTTTCGGGTAAAAGAGAATACCATGTTAATTCTCCCTTAGTGAGTGTTTCACCGAATTTTTTGACCGATACTGATTCAATTTCTTATTTGGTCAAGTCGTTGCCTTTTACACCCGTTGTGAATGCAGTCACGTGATCTCGTGGATCAGTTGTTCCATCGTATTTTGGAATATCGGGCATTTTGAATTTCTTTGGAATTGGGAGGGGACCGGCACTTGGCTTCCAAGGTTGTTGTGATTATTTATCCATAGCTATCCCTTTGATTACGGGCGGTACTCCAGGTATTTGCTCTATGCAGTCACTTTGCTCTTTGAGCTGTTTCTGCAATGTTAATACTAAATTTTGTAAATCAGAATTGACTAAGTTACCTGATTCTCCTTCTCGTGGCTCGCTGGGGATTCCACCACTGCCTGAATTAGCAAGCCCAAAACGAGGGTTCTCCAAAGTGTTGTTATTTGGAGTGGGTGTTGGTGGTGCAACAGGTAACTGGCTGACATAGGCCTCAAGAGCTTTATTGACCTGTTAAGCGATTAGATTTTGCAAAGCTTCATTGATAGCTTCATCATTTTCAAATTGAGCGTTTCCGTTTGCATGAGATCCATTAGGAGTGTCTTCTCAAGACCGCCGAGGGGAGCTTTGGGGAGAAGGGATCGGGGTGTGATCATCCTGTGGATTCCCCTAGAGTTGATGGTTTCCTTGGTTTCCTTGGGTGTTGTCATTAATGTTTGACATGGTTGATGCAACAAAAAAGTTTATCTTAAGAAAGAATAGATTATCAGATTTTCGGTAACGGAACCAATTTGTTTAACCAAAAGGTAAAACTTCGGTCAAAACTTTAATTTAGAAGAACTCGGGTTACTGATAATCAGAAATGAATAAGAGAAATTGATTTTGCTAACAATAAGATAGACATAAGAAAACAAAGTAAACCAGTATATTCAGATGATTTCTCGTGTCCTTACAAATGACCAGTTTTCTCCTTTTTATAGCTATCTCTAAGATATACGTTTTGCCTTTGTCATAATCAGGCCATTATAGACAATTAAAGGCATTAAATGTTACGTTATATAATTATTGTAATTTAATACAGATTCTCTAACGTTTTTAGTATTTAACGCTTATTAAATACTATATTTGTACTCTCTTGTGTTGTCAGATTCATTCTCCTTAATTTGCGGATCTAAATAGGTATGAGCGCCGAGTCTTTTGAGTATTTGTTCGTGCCTCTACTTGTGCCTCTGCTCGTATCTGTTGTAACTCGTGCCTCTTTGCTAATCATCATTCTTTGACCAGCCTTCGTGTCATGACACGTCATCTTTCAATCACTTCAATATATAAACTCAATTTTTTCCAATACAAGGCCGTTGTGAAAATCCTCGTGCTACAAGTCATGCTTTATATCTTACAACTTCATTTTTCTCATTTCTTTTTCGCACAAAAATTTATTTGTACCCCACTGGCTTTACACCTTCAGGTGTTTGGGCTATAGGTCCAAAAACTTCACATTTTTTAAGTGAAGTCAATTCTACTTGGATAGCATCTTTCCATTTTAGTCAATCATTTCTCTGTCTACATTCATCGACAAAATTCGATTCAAGATCCTCATCTTGTTGCATTATTTCAGCAGCAATATTATAAGCAAAAATGATATCAATAACTATATCATTTCGGTTCCATCTTTTTTCAGTTGAGACATAATTTATTGAGATCTCTTCATTTTCATTATTTCCAGGTACTTTGACCTCTTTTGAGGTATTATCTATTATTATGTCTCGGGGCTCTTCTTGAGCAACTACCTCCATATTATGACCATCTTGATCATTTTCCCTTTCCTTTTTCGAGGATTTTTATATTTAGAACCGATTGGTCTGCCACGTTTTAAGTGTGGCTTAGACTCATATGCTTTGACAGATTGTCCTACCGGAACATCAACTCGGATTGGAGCATTTGCAGTTGGAATATGAGATTTAGTAATCCTTGGTAGGTTGGTAAATACATCTGGAAGTTGATTTGCAATACTTTGTAAATGAATTATCTTTTGAATTTCCAATTCACATTGATTTGTACGAGGATTTAAATAAGATAATGATAATGCATTCCAGTCTATCTCCTTTTTCAGCTGCTTATTCTCTCCCCTTAATGTTGGGAAAACTAATTCATCAAAATGGCAATCAGCAAATCTTGTGTAAATAAATCTCCAGTCATGGGTTCCATATATTTAATAATAGAAGGAGATTCATATCCAACATATATCCGCAACCTTCTTTGGGAGCCCATCTTTGTGTGTTGTAGTGGAGCAATTGAAAAATATACCGCACATCTAAATATTCTAAGATGAGAAATATTTGGCTCCTGACCATAAGCCAATTGTAATGGGGGGATTTTATGATAACTCGTTGGCATGACACGCACAACTGCTGCTGCATGCAAAATAGCATGACCCCATATCGAAATAGGAAGTTTTGTTCTCATAAGCAATGGTCGAGCAATTAATTGGAGGCGTTTGATAAATGATTCTGCCAGACCATTTTGAGTATGAACATGAGCAACAAGATGTTCAATTATTATTTCAGTTGACATACAATAATCATTAAAGGCTTGAGATGTAAATTCACCGGCATTATCAAGATGAATTGTCTTAATTGCATAATCTAGAAATTGTGCTCTTAATCTTATTATTTGAGCCAACAACCTCGCAAATGCCAGATTGCGAGTTGATAATAAACACACATGAGACCATCTTGTAGATGCATCTATTAAAATCATATATATTTAAATGATCCACATGGTGGGTGAATGAGCCCACATATATTACCATGTATACGTTCCAGAAATACTGGGGATTCAATCCCAACTTTAGTTACTGATGGCCTAGTAATAAATTTACCTTGAGAACATGCACCACAAGAGAATTCTTTAAATTAAAGAATCTTTTAGTTCTTCAATACATGTCCATGTGAATTCTCAATTATTTTGCGCATCATGCTAGAACCAGGATGGCCCAACCGGTCATGCCAAATAATAAAATTATTTGAATTAGTAAACTTCTAGTTTACTATAACATGTGTTTCAACCCTGCCAATGTTTGTGTAGTACAAGCCAGAGGAAAGACCAGGCAGCTTTTCAAGCACATACTTCTTACCCGACTTTATTGTAGTAATATAAGGATATTCAATCTTTTCATTATTTGTAGTCTCAATGTGATATCTATTTTGGCGAATATCTTTGAAACTTAGTAAGTTTCTTTGAGACTTACTACAATATAATGCTTCATTAATAGCCAAATTTGTTCCTCCGAGTAGTAATAAATTTGCTCTTCCAGAGCCTTCAATTAATCTTGTACTGCCAAAGATTGTATTAACATTGGCGTCTTTCATCACCAAATAAGAGAAATATATCTTATCTCTTAAAATAACATGTGTTGTAGCACTATCCAAAAAACATATATCATCTTTATTGATCTTGGAACTAACTGAAGACTGGGGAATTTTCATATTCTTCATAAAGAAACAAAAAGTACATCATAAGAAATACGAAAGACTATAAATAAAAGAAACATTAGAAATTACACTAGGAATGCAGAAACTACCATATATGATGCTTTAGGAAAGTACACTAAGAAGAACAAACTACTTAAAGACATAATATGAAAATAACAACTTTTCTTAAAGTTTTATTCCCCAGTAAGATAATCACTTCTTCAGTCAATATCCTCAAAGAAGTCTCCAGCTTCTAAATGAGTAATATTTGCAAGGCCTCCAAAATCATCATCTTTATATGCAAGATTTGTCTCAACATCATCATATTTGTTTGAGGGACCTGCCTCATCATCATTATTTTGATAAGTCAAGTGTGCCTCCACATTGTTATCTTTTTTTAAATAGATGCTTGATAAAGTTTGACAAAATGATCAGGTGTACGACAAACACGTGCTCAATGACCTTTCATACCACATCTGTGGCAAATATTAACTCTACCCTTTAAAGAATTATTTTGAGGATTCTTATTGTTCTCTTATTTATTTCCATCATGATGACGATAATTATTTTGTCCCCTTCCATGTCCACCTTCACGTCCACGACTATGGCCACAACCACGACCACGATAATTATTTTGTCTTCTTTCAGACTTTTCAGTCACTACTACCATATTCACTTCAGAAAATGGTGCAGATTCAGTGGGACGGGCTTCATGATTTTTCATTAAAAGGGTATTATGTTGCTCAGACATCAGGAGGCATGAGATTAATTCAGAATATTTCTTTAAACCCTTTTCACGATATTGTTGCTGCAATACCATATTTGAGGCATGAAAAGTAGAAAGAGTCTTTTCCATTAAATCCTCATCGTTCACAATTTCCCCACATAATTTAAGTTGGGAAGTTATTCTGAATACAACAGAATTATATTCACTTACAATTTTAAAATCTTATAACCATAAGTGAATCTATTCATATCGAGCTCTTGGCAATACCGTTGCCTTAAGATGATCATATCGTTCCTTCAAACTGCTCCATAATTCAAATGGAACCCGGGTTAAGTATTCAGTTTTTAACCCTTCATCGAGATAATGACGAAGGAAAATTATAGCATTTGCCTTATCCTGATCCGATGTTTCATTTCTTTGTATAATAGTATTTTCAAGAGCTTTTGCAGCAAAGTAAATTTTAGCATCAAGGACCCATGATAAATAATTCCTTTCGGAGATGTCAAGTGCCACAAATTCAAGCTTTGACAAATATGACATAATAAAAACTATCCAAAAATAATAATTATATTAGAAATATGATAAGAACTATTACCAATGAAGATTACAAGAACAAATATCTGTTTTGTACCAGTACGATAACATGAAAATTTCTTCTTTGAGTCAGCATTTGTTTTTCACCTATTAAAATTTAAACTTTGCCAAAATCTCAAAAATATATGCATGGACAACTTAGCTGGTTGTTGTTTTACGCACCGAACAAGTAGGAAGAAATTATTTACTAATGAATATAACTTTAACAATTAATCATTAGAAGACCCATATCAAGAAATATACAAATAACCAAGATCTAAAATATTAAATATAAAAATATTTTGATGTGATAGTAATATCAAGTTGGTCAATTGTAAAGATTCTTCTATTATCAAAGAGAGTAAGCATAACTTTTTCAACTTGGCGCAGGAAATGACTTGTTTTTAATAAAAAGCAAGCATCCCATATTTGACAATCAACTAAGTTACTGTCATAATTTATAACACTATGTAATTGTATGAATTTAGAGTTACCCACCTTGTTCCGAGGAAGAAAATAAGCACAACTGGAAGATGATTAAAGTTGGCTAGGAGCTCATGCTGATAACGTGTTATAAAAAAAAAAAATATAGCAAGAACTATGTAGTTAACTAGGACTAATAATAGAAGAGAATGACCACATTAGAAGAGAGGATTTATTTCTTCGTTTCAGAGTATATAGAAGGTTCATCAGTGAACCTATTTATAGAAACATTTCGTTGTTACAAAACCAATCCAAAACCTGTTATGAATACATAACCAACTAAAAACCTGTTATGGATACATAACCAATCTAAAATCTGTTATGGATACATAATCAATCCAAAACCTGTTATGAATACATAACCAACTAAAAACCTGTTATGGATACATAACCAATCTAAAATCTGTTATGGATACATAATCAATCCAAAACCTGTTATGGAATACATCCATCATTGCAAGTGGATGAAACCATTTGCAGGATTTATAACAAGAAGAACATAAATATAATTTGAAACTGCAAACTGCATTTATAGCAAATTCGGTCCAAACTGCATTTATAGCAAATTTGGACTCAAAATACGTTTCTACTACCCAAAAAAGATACTTTTCTATATATAACGTGGTATTATACCACGCTACACTTTAACGGTGTTTCTGCCATTAAAATATAGCGCGGTGTTATACCGCATTATATATAGCACGGAGTAATACCGCGTTATATATAGCGCGGTGTAATACCACGCTATACCTTCTAATTAAAAACCCCTTCTTCTTTCCCCAACGACAGAAACAAACCCCTTCCCCTATTTTTTAAACGGAAAAAGGTTTAAAATGCCCCTAAATTATTAAAAAAGGTTTAAAAATACTCTTCATCCACCTATTGGGCTAAAAATACTCATCCATCCACCTTTTTTAGTTCACTTATGTCCTTTGACTGATGCTGAATTAAAAATAATTACATAAAAAAAATATTTTGCAAAATATTTTATTATTTAAACTAATGCACCAGTAGTCCACAAATTTTGTAAAGTCTTCTTTTCTTTTTTTTTTTTCCAGTTTTTACAAAAAAAATATTTTTTCATTTTTTTCAGCTTTTTTGAAAGCATTTTTTTGTAAAAACTGAAAAACAATTTGTAAAGATAGGAAAAAAATTGTTTTTATAAAATAATTTCGTTTTTAAAACTGAAAAATATATTTTCAACAAAATATTTTTGTTTTTGATTTTTTTTAAAGCAATTTATTGTAAAAACTGGAAAAATAAATTTGAAAAAACTGATTTTTTTTTTTGTAAAAACGGAAAAAATATTTTCGTTTTTTAACAATTTTTTTTTTTGTTTTTTAAAAACTGAAATTTAAAAAAAAACTAAAAAAAATATTTTCAAAAACGTAAATATTTTTTTTCAGTTTTTAAAAAACAAAAATATTTTTGTTAAAAACAATTTTTTTTATATTTTATTCAGTTTTTACAAAAAATAAATGCTTTAAAAAAGTTGGAAAAAATATATTTTTGTAAAAATTGAAAAAAGAAAAAGAAAAGACTTTACTAAATTAGTGGACTACTGATGCATTAGTTTAAAAAAAATAAAAATATTTTGCAAAATATTTTTTTAAGTAATTATTTTTACTTCAGCATTGACCTAATTGTCAAAGGGCATAAGTGAACCAAAAAGGTGGATGGAGGGGTATTTTTAGCCCAATAGGTGGATGAAGGGTATTTTAAAACTTTTTTCTAATAGTTTAGGAGCGTTTTGAACCCTTCTCCGTTTTAAAAAAAAAAATAGAACCAGCGCCCCCCCTTTTCTCCAAAAAATATCCGAGTGGACCCCACCCATCACACAAAAAGATAAGATTGTAGGTCCTGCATCCAACCCAAGCATTCTATTGTTGTGGTTTCTTTGTTCCGGGATCAAAATTTTAATTTTTCGACTTTTCTAAAAACATAAATCGAGGTATGCCGATTTAGTTTATGTCGAAACTCGTATAATAATGCATATTAGTTGTCTTGAATGTGTTTTCATGTTGTTTTGTGTTTTGTTTGTGATTAAACTAGTATGTTATTTTTACCCGGATTAAGATATTAGTGTTTTAAAAAAATAGTTAAAAGTTGAGAAATAATTTTTTTGTAATAAAAATGTGCATAAATTTCTTTTACTATTTTATATGTAATTTCGTGAATGTTATGTTATTAAATATATTTGTTATTTTTATTTAGTTTAGATTATTTATTTGCTTAAAGAGTAGTGCCCTTTTAGCGTAGTAAATATAGGGGGAATTTGCACTACACCCGCTTTTTGGGTCACGTTTTAACTTGTGCCCACTTTACAAAAAAAAATTGCAAGCGTACCCACTTTTTCGCATAACTTCAGCATACGGGGCTGAAGTAACGAAGGCAATCATGCAAAACTTCAGCATTCTAGTAGACTAGCATGAAGCAGCAAAAATTGCTGAACCAAGTGTGCTGAAGTTTTTGTTTGTAATTGCTGAACTTAAGCATGGTAGCTGAAGTTCTGTTCTCTATTTGCTGAAGTTTTTGTTTGTAATTGCTGAACTTAAGCATAGTAGCTGAAGTTTTGTTCTCTATTTGCCGAAGTTTTTTTGTCCTGGATTCATTAGTTTTTTGATTAAGCTTTTTCAAAAACTCCAGCAGAAGATGCTGAAGTTATTTAGTTTATTTATAAAAACTTCAGCACTAAATAAGCTGAAGTTTTTTGTCCTGGATTCATTAGTTTTGTCATTAAGCTTTTTCAAAAACTTCAGCAGAAGATGCTGAAGTTATTTAATTCATTTATAAAAACTTCAGCACTACATAAGCTGAAGTTTTTTTGTCCGGGATTCATTAGTTTTGTCATAAAACTTTTTCAAAAACTTCAGCAGAAGATGCTGAAGTTATTTAGTTCATTTGTATAAACTTCGACACTATATAAGCTGAAGTTTTTGAAAAGTTATTCTAACATACTAGATAAATAATCAGATTGCCAACAGTATCTAAATCATAAATTTTGGAAACAATAAACGTTAAAAGAACAGAATTATCATGAAAAGAATCACTAAGTGTGACCTTAAACTTCACGTACGTGGAAATATTCACAAATTATTGCCTACTAACTTACATAATTATTTATAATTTGTTTTTAAATAATCTGATAAACATACTTATGGCAATCATCCCATGAACTGAACTTTCATAGAAGCACCAACGGCAGCAGAAGAAGAAGAAGGAGGAGGAGGAAGAGGAGGAGAAGGAGAAGTAGAAGGAGGAGGAGAAAGGGGGTTGAAGTAAGGGTGTTAAATGGGTGCGCCGGGCCGGGCTGGGTTGGGAGTTTTTGGGCCCGTACGGGTTATGGTCCAGGCCAGTTACGGGTTGGGTCTTACCGGGTTTAACGGGTTCATCCGGGTAAAAATTCAACCGTAAGGGTTACGGGTTAAGGGGGCCGGGCTGGGCCGGGTTTAGTGTATTTTTAATTTTTTTTTTTGTATTTTGTATAACTATTGTAAGTTATATTAATATAAAGTATTAACATAAAGAATACAAGGAAGATGGGAAAAAATTGCACCTATAAATTGCAAGTGCTACATTTATTTCAAAATTACAAAATTAAAGTTTGCATTTAAAAAGTAAATAAACAAAAAAATAGCAAAACTAAATTTTCATGCATAATAAATTAATAATACTTCATATTAATCTAACAAACTAAAACATTAAGCATAAATACGTCTAATAATTTTAAAATAACACAAATTGTCTTAAAATCTTAAATACGAATTTTCGGAGGACGCTCAAGACAATACTTTATATGCCTCCTTAAACTGCCTGTGCCAGACCCTGAACGAAGATTTAAGACTTGACCACAGTTCTTGCACTTTACTTTCTGACCTTCTTCATTTTCTTCTACCACCTCAAAGTGTTGCCAAACATATGAGCGCACTATAGAAGCACGAGGCATGATTTAACTTGAATTGAGATTGAGAAATTAGAATTGAGAGATGAGTGAAGAAATGAGGAAGAGGAGGGGGTATTTATAGTTTTAAAGAAGGTTAATTTTGTAAATTGAAAAAATATTAAATTTTAAAGAAAAAAAGGCTATTAATGCAATTAAGGGTGTTAAGCAACGGATCCCTGCCAGGGGTGACCGTTGCCAACGGTTAGTGGGCCCCACAGATTTCAAAAAAAACAAAAAAAAAATGATTTAGCCGTTGTACCGGTCCAGTCCGGTCCGGGCCGGTTAAACCAGTACACGGTACTGTTCACGTGGATCGGGTTTGACCGGTCCGATTAACCGTTAATAAAAAAATAAACGGACCAACCCCCTCTACCCCTCCTACCCAGCCCCACCCGGCCCCTATGTACCGGGTCGGTCCGGTTTTTTTCGGTATGGGCCGGTCCGGTTACGGGTCAACCCGGCCCGTTAGACATCCTTAGGCTGAAGTTGTTTAAAGAGTGGGTACAAGTTAAAACTTTTTTAAAAAATGGGTATAGGTTAA